TCCAAAAATGTGATCATGTGACCATGAGGGAAGGACATTAGAACTTCGAATCCAAGTCATAAGTATCTTTTCTGGAGTCTCTCATAACTTCAAATGGCAACAAGCCATTAAACAAGGACTATCTGTACCAACCTTCTGTGCCCACTCATATCCCATATAAACTGTGTAATATATAGAAATACGTATGTTCTCTCAGATTTGTGAACCTTCCATCCTATGTAAGGGAAAAGAAGGGCGAGATTTCAGATACGCTTGAATGTTACATCAATATTCCAAAGCAATAGATAGGACAATATCTACATTTTGTGCTGAAAGAAGAAAACGGCACATGTAGACTATATTAACATTAACATTCTAATATTGCATAAAACTTCAGAGACTGCTCACTCCGGATTTTTCTTTGTCGGTTATATTAACTGGGCATTAATTTGTAAACGCTTCTAGCAGGATGGGCATTGTGGTTTTTGCTTTCTCTGTACACAAAGAGCGGCATATACAATGTAAGTATTTTGCAGAACAACAGACTGTGAAAATCCTTCTTATACTTGAGTGGCTTTTAAAAGGAAAATGAGGTGAGAAGCTCGTTTCTATACTTAGCTGGAAATCAGACAGGCTGGCTAGAAAGCGTATCTATTTAAAGGAAAAGCAATTTTGTCCAACCAGTGATAGTTATGATTCCCTTCATTTTAAAATGCTTTCGTAGCCACAAATGTTTTCAGGGTCCATAGCTCAATGGAAAAGATAACAGGATTCAGTTTTTTTCAACGTATTCTGCAACAGTCTTTTCTAACTTATGACATATTTCCTGGGAAATGTGGAATTCAGGGCATTTGGATACTACTAGGTTGGGAATGCTTGTTTTTCTTACTTTTCTTTCACAATTAAAAAATAGCAACCATGAACCAAGACTGATGGAAGGAAAAAATATAAAATGCTTAATATACTGTTTAGGTTGCTTACGTAAAACAGGATTATGAATATTTTTTTTGCCACATAATTGTGAGATTTATTAATTGTGTATAAATGGTTTGATCAAGGTCTCTTTTCATTTATCGTATTAAAATGCAATAGGACTCCTTCCCCTTCCTTTCCCACATTACAATGAAATAACTCTAACGGGCAGTATTAAATAAAACAAGTTTCACTCCAGTAGTTGTTAAAATAAAAGCAGTTTATTAATTGCAGTCATTATTGTTTTCAAACGCATAACACATGAGTGAAATCAAATGAAGCCTGAGAGCTGGTACCAATTTGATAATAAATTGCTACAATGTACTGTACAATTGAATTTATTACAGCTGTGGAAATAAGTACTAATAGACCAAGGGTAGTATTACACATTATTACATCATCTAAGATACTCTGGGTATTTACATTAATCTTTACTTTTAAATGGGTCTTCTAGGTCAGTGGTGGAGAACCTATGGCACGGGTGCCAGAGGCGGCACTCGGAGCCCTCTCTATGGGCACACGTGCTGTTGCCCCAGACTCGCCTCCCCCCATGACCCCCTCCTCACCAGCAGCCCCTCTGGAGGAGAATCACCCCCGAGCGTGGCCCACGCGGAGCAGCGCAACCAAGGACATGGCAGCCAGGCAACGTAGACAAGACTCTGCCCTCATGCCCCATCCCGCACAGTTGATGCGAGGCGCGGGCAGAGGGCGTGGCCACCATGGTGCTGCTGGGCTGCCTGGGTGATCTGCGGTGGGCCCTGGAGGCAGTGAGTGGCCCTGTGGGAAGGTGGGTGGGGGATGGGGGGTGGCGTGGCAGGGGTGGGGCAGGGGGTGGAGTGGGGGCAGGGCCAGTTTTTGGGCACTCGGTTTCTAAAAGGTTTGCCATCACTGTTCTAGGTCAACCACTATCACAAAACCAGTGCGTGTGTAGGCATGTTCTCGCTGCTATAAATATTTGTATTATCCATTTGGCTACATTTTGCACTTTATATCCAGGTCATGCCCGACATTTGTAAATAAACAGATTATTAACCCTAACTCTTGGAGACCATTCTTAATATTCTAATATGGTATCATGCCTCTCACTTTCTCATTCTTTTTTATTACTGATATTATCTTACAACAAAAAGAAAGGGAATTTTTGCTATCAGAGAATAGATTTCCCAATAAATCAAAGAAAAAAGGACAGCTTTAACATCTAAATATTTCAGTGGATCAACATAGAAGAGGTTCTGGGGAATAAACCTTATCATCCCGCATTTTCTTTTATTGCCCTTGGAGGACTTCAGATAATGGAAGAATAACAAAGTCATAAAGAGGGGCAAGGTGAAATTTTCAGCCAATAGTAGTTTTCCATTTGTCGAGGTTCTTAAAGTACCTCAGACAAATACACTAATTTGGGGGGGGGGGAAATCAGAAAAAGGGGAAATCTCTCTCTCTCTCTCTCTCTCTCTCTCTCTCTCTCTCTCTCTCTGCGTGCGTGCGTGTGTGTGTGTGTGTGTGTGAGTGTATGAGAGCAGACAGACAGAGAGACTATAAACAACGTGTAGCTTACAAGTGGCTTTCCCCTGGTTTATGGTTTAATGGAATGACTAACCAAATTAATTTTGAGTTATTCAATCAACCCATGGTTATGGAAACCATGACTCATGCCAAAAATTAAGAATGGAGCATTTATAGGGACAAATGCATCTGCAACATTTCTTATGACACTCATAGTAATCAAATAAGTAAATATTAATTTTAAAAAAGAGGACATGACGGAATTTAGGGGTAAATTACCTATTGTTCCAAATTTTAGTGTTCTCACATGAAGTCACAGAGATGAATCGTCAAAATCTTGAGGATCTGTAGAAAAGGGGAAGGAGGCCACTGGCAATTTCAATCAATCAAACAGAATAGAGCTGGAAGGGACCTTGGAGGTCTTCTAGTTCAACCCCCTGCTCAAGCAGGAGACCCTGGCCTATACCATTTCAGACAAGTGACTGTCCAGTCTCTTCTTAAAAACCTCCAGTGATGAAGCACCAACAACATCTGAAGGCAAGCTGTTCCACTGGTTAATTGTCGTCACTGTTAAGAGGTTTCTCCAGGTTGCTTCTGTCCTTGATTAGACATGATAGCAGTATTCCAGTATTTGAGAGGCTGCCACAAAGAGGAGGAGGTCAACTTATTTACCAAAGCACCTGTTGGCAGGATAAGAAACTTACAGAAACATGCATGGATTTTTTTAAATGTCATTTGAATTCATTCCACAAGTAAGATTTAAAGCAATAACTTTTGATACGAATATCATAGCACTTAGCATCCAGATACAACCAGCTGTACTAAAATTTTAAGTATAAAGAGGTAATTCAATAAATGCTAAAGAAATACTAATTAAATTGGAAATTAAGCCTAACACTGAAAAATAATACTATCATTTATAGCGTATCAAGTCTTAAAAGACATGTAATATAGTAATTAGTGAAAAATATAACTATTTCCATTCTAGACATGAACGAATGAATAGTTCAGTTAAAAGGGAATTGAAAAATTGAGCCTTATATTTAACAGAAAATGGAAATGACACAATTATGCATTCTTTTTCTTTTTCAGGAATATTACATATCTACATATATCCTAATTGTTGATATATGGGCAATAGCATATTGTCTTACATGATGATGTCCAGATTAGAGAACTATGGTGTATAGAATAGCATAAACATGTTTGCAATACCGGCCCAAACATGCCCAAATAAATAAATGAGCAAAAAGTGGATATGACTAAGGATCATAATCTAGTCTATACTTTCTCTACAATACAAAAAAAAGCATTATTTGAAAGCCTTGAGTGAGAAAATGCATGATAGGTAGTCGTTCTCCCATCAAGGTCCCATCACCGACAACAATAGAAAATGGAAGACCATGACTTGGAATGTAAAAAGAGTGAATGAATTAACAGATGATATGAAAGAAAAATAGCCATGTTGTATTTGTGAAACTAAAACAGAGAAAGCAAAAAATAGATTTGAATGAAGATGGGCTAATTTGGTGAGTGAAGTTGATAAATATATGCAGGGAAGTGAAGGTGTAGGTTTAATTATGAATAAAATGGCTAAAATGGATGTCAGAAATTATGAACTAGTACCTAAGCTATTAAGGGTGCATCTAAAGAAGCAAATTCACATGTTTCTGATAGCTGCATATTACATTTCAGTGGTTTGTAGAAAAAACTGATTTAAATTTAGGTAGTCCAGAACCAAAATAAATAAATAAAATAAAACAAATAATAGTTAAGTCACATTAATATATTAATTAATATATTTATGACAATGTGATAAGAGAATATACACCAATGTAATTCCAAGATCCCAAAATGAAAGAGAATTGCGATTATTAGTATCAGCTTACAAAAGATCTGTACATACATAGAAAAATAATAAAAAAGGATGGGTGATTTGACTGTATAGCTGGAAAGATTGAGTTTGTGAAGGATACAAGAATAATGAGAGACTCTGAATATGATCAGTCCCATGTGGTAGACCAGACCAGGAAATCAACTCCTTTGGAAGACTGATGCTACTTTTATTGTGATGTGCTATAATTAGAAATTCTTGCAAGTCTGATTATGCTATACTTTTCCTCTTTTCTGTAATTCAGTGAATTATGGGGTGACTGACCGAGCTCCTTCCTAATTTTATCTCATACTGGTCTTTAAAAATGCTTCAGTCCTCCTTGCCCAGATAATGGTGCCTTCATATCTCTGTTAAGATCATCTTGATACCGAATGTCAGGAATTAAACTTGAATGAAGAAAACTAGATATGGGGAAAATGAGGGGGAAACAGAAATTATGACTTCTGTATGAATGAGTATTAAAATATAAATTAATCTTCCAACAGAAGGAATGGGAAGTGGGTTTAAGGGGAAAATAGACTATTTGGAATGGAGTGAATTACTTTTCACACCACAAAAGTGATGTGGCATAATGAAATGAAAAAGTTTCTAGTTAAGAAAAAGTGCTTATCAGAGGATGCTGCAAAAAATAGTAAGAAAAATATATTGCACAATGTATGTAGAAGTTATAAAGAATATAAAAGAAAGCAAAGAACTGTTAAGGTTAAAAGAGATAAAGAAAATGCAGAACGATTTTGATGGAAATGAAAAAAAAATGGAGGTGGGAAAAAACGCTAAATGAAGAGCCATATAGTAGAGAGATTAGAATCAATCAAAACTAAGATGTGTTCTGGGATAAAACTCAAATGAGAGAATGCTAAAAGCAGTATTTTAGAGATCAATATGAGAATAGTAGTAATATGTCAAATAATGGAATTAAAAATAAATTTTAAACGATGAAAAGGAAGTCATAAATGTCAGAATGATGAAATTGTATGTAGGGAATATAATTTGACAAATGTTAAAATATGGATGTGGTTTTTTTCATGGAGTATCTGTGAAGCTTGTTTAATATGTGTTTGGAGACTGGGAAAACTGATGAATGGAGCAATGCTGTTAATATTCCCCTATGTAAAAGAATAAGCAGAAAGAATGAATAAAAATACCTTTTTTCTTTCTCTATTTTTTATTTTATTCATAGGGAAGTTAAAATACAAAATTCAAAAAAGACCCACAAAAAACACACACAAAACAATCTAGACATTTAAAAAGTGCATTGAAAAGAAAAAACCCAACATATATCCCCCTAATTGAATACTGATTAATACATCACTACAATATTGGTTCTCACCTCTTGCAAAACAGCCTCCCCCCAAATTTCTAAATTAGTAAATCTATTTGAAAATTTATATATAAATATAAATACTCTCGAGTATTCCTTTTTTCTTGCTCCCAGGGTGGATGTGTCTTTGATCATGTTGTGATCACTTATGACTCTCAGACTTATGGGGTGTTCTTTCCCATTAGATATTTTAGGGTGCCTTATATTATAAAATATCTAATGGGAAAGAACACCCCATAAGTCTGAGAGTCATAAGTGATCACAACATGATCAAACTGGAAGCCAGTCCACAGCTGCATCATTAGCCACTTTAAACCCCTCCAATCCATACATGAAGCAAACTGACACCCACCATAAAGATGTGGCACGACCACGAACACGAAGCCAAACAACAGCAACGAAGCTCACCATCTCAAATCCCCCTGCAACTCAAACTAACCTGAGCACAACAAAGCCCCCACCCAAACAGANGAACACACCTCCACCCAATCAGAACACAGCCAAGCTCCCACCCAATCAGCTCAAACCCCACTGGCAGTTAAAAGGAAGAAACAGCTGCGATCACACACACTACTCCCAGAAGCACGAAGCTGAAGACACCAGCCTGAAGATGACGAATGTGACTTCGTCGAAACGTCGCCAAGACACTTCTAATTCTACGCGGGAGAAACCCCGAATAACTAAAGACCTACATACAAACACCCGCGAAAACCTCAGAAAATATATATATGTGTGTGTGTGTGTGTGTGTGTGTGTGTGTGTGCTTAATGGTTGTAAAAATGCAAATCCCGGGCATGTTTATCCAATGATGCAATCAGCGATCTCCGGGAGATCGCTAAGTTGTTTTTTAACTTTGTATATAACTGTTTTTATTGTTTTAAGTATTGTTTTAACAATAAACAACTGGTTTGTACCTCTCCCGGAGATCGCTGATTGCATCATTGGAGATATATATATATATATTGCAATCAAAAGGTAAAAGGTTTCTGTGTCCAGTTGTGTCTGACTCTAGGACACAGTGCTCATCTTCATTTGTTGGCCAGGGAGCAGACGTTGTCCAAAGACATTTTCCGTGGTCCTCTGGTCAGCATGGCTATATTCCAAAGGTGCACAGATTGCTGTTATCTTCCCACTGAAGTGGTACCTATTTATCTACTAGCATTTGCATGGTTTCAAACTGCTAGGTGGGCAGGAGCTGGGCAAGTAACGGGAGCTCACCCATTTCATGGTGCTTGGGTCTTGAACCTGGGCTCTCAGCTTTCCTTGATCGTTCTGTTTCTCTGTTTAGATAAGAAAATGTTTTTGAAATGGTAACTTAACAGGGCGTGGGCTATCTAATCAAAATCAAAACTCAAATTGATGCAGGAAGAGTGAGTGATGGAGAGGAAGGGGGAATATGAAGAAGGAGCATAGATTGATGGAATTGAAGAGAACCTCAAAAGGAAAAAATGAGTAGTTTAAAGAATGAAATGCAATATATGAAACAGTGTGTGGAAATGATGGAAAGAAAGATAGGTTGTAAGTTATGGAGAGGTACTATTACTGGTTTTTGTGTAAACCAGATCCCTTTACTTTTTTTCAAACTCATGCCTTTAAATTTTCGACTCAATATTCTTACTCTTTTCTTGTGATTTGCATAATGTTGCTTATCCCAAAAGGAAATAATATGATGACTATGCATATGTGCATATATGTACATACTATTAAATTAACTCACATGTGATTATTGGGGGAAAGATATACAGTGGCATATTCAGTTGCTAGCTGTAATATGCAGATTTAGTTATAGAATAATGGAGAAAAGTATGACTGGAGAATCATTTGGTTATTGAAAATATACTCTTTATTACTTTAAGAAAAATAACATATGGCTCAAAAGGCATGATAAATACACTGCATAATCATAGATATTTGGCCATGATTCTGCCCATGCTTTATATGAAGATTGGCAATAATTTCAATTTGCTGCTTTAGCGGAAAAGAAAAAGGTAAAAGGAAAGAGCTGCATTCCTTTTCTGATGAGCACAATTTGAGATTTTCTAGCTTGAACATCTGAGATTGTGTGTGTGTGTGTGTGTGTGTGTGTGTAGACACAAATGCACACATATATGTCTGAAATTTCATTGAACTAGACTTTTATTCATTTTCATTGAAAGCACTACTAGAAAAAGCATAGGTCAAATTTTAAATTGCCTTGTCCTTTGTCTTCAGCAGTCATAAATTTAATTCTAAAAAGAGTGATTCATCATGTCTTCTGCTTATTGATTTTGATATAGAGAGAACGATTCTGATTGCTTTAAGTGAGACAAGGATCAGAGTTATCTTATAATTGAGATTGAATTTTTAGAATTGCTACAAAAGGATGGCAAAACTCATGGATCGCTTGGGTATATTAGGAGCGTGAAGAGGTTGTATTCATCCAGTTTTACTCTATACAACAGATTTGTCATAGCAATACTAAATTAGTGTATGTTTCACTTAGTAAAGATCAGCAAAAAGAACTTATGAATGTAATTTTCTTTTTAATATTTGAATAGTGAAGTGTATGAAAGGATTGGAGCACATTACAATTATTTATAATTTGCTATTAAGGTTTTACTGAGTCTTTTTGGCACTTATAATTTTTAAAATATGATTATAATCCCTAGAAAATGTTCTTGGTAGTAGCAAGCCATTTTACTGGTACCTTTTTGTAAAATAAATTCTGATGATGACAGGAATGTTCAGATTAGGGTAAAAAAAATATGATCAGCTTAACTATGCCATGTGGAAAGATTGTGGGGGGGAGGCATCACGGTCGAGAGTTTACACCAAAAGGCATTGGGAAACAACAAGGAGAGAATAAGAAATTTAATGTTCATTCCATTCATACCAGACTACACTATCTTTCTGTCAGAGAGTGACCCAATAGGTTAATAGATTGTATAATTTTTTTTAAAAAAATTACAAATGTTAAAAAATGTTATAGTAACTGCCTATATAGCAACTAGAGATCATGTTTAAAAAACAATCATGAGGACATAAGATACAATTCAAACTCATTAATTTATTTTCCTTGCTATTTTAGAGTCATTCAATTGCTTTGTGTTTGTAAGGAGAAGAGCAGACAGAGCTGGGGGATGGAGTTAAAAGTGTCATCAGCCTAGAGGCGTTACATTGCCACAAATGGTCCAAGTCGAACCTCTCCAGAATTCCACTGACCCATATCTGGCACCAATTTAATGCTGAATTTTAGATGACTAGATTCTTGTGTTTAGACTCGAATAAATCTTCTATGCTGCAACCTAACGGATGATTCTGATTCTTTGCACCTGACATTGTAAAGTGATTAAATAGATGCACATAGTATTTAAATAAGATGTTAAGAAATATAAACTTGAAAACAGATACATAATTTTCACTTCTCGCTCAGCTTAGTTTTATTCCAAAGTCAACCCAAATATTGGTGCAGTCCCAGTGTTCTTACCATTATTATCTTGAGATATCATATATTTTGCTTGCTGTCTTCCTATAAGGCACAGGGAATGAGGACTGTCTTCTAAATTTCTATTCCTTCACTTCCCTTTAGTCTGGAGAAAAGAATGAGTAGCTGTCAGTGAGCAGTCCAAAGATCCCTTAGGGTAGGGGTGTTCAACTTGGCAACTTTAAGACCTTGGACTTTAAATCCCAGAATTCCCCAGCCAGCCATACTGGCTAAAGAATTTTGGAAGTTGAAGTCTTCAAGTCTTAAAGTTGGCACTGTTGGACGCCTCTGCTTTAGTCTTAGTCATTTAAAAGAAAAAGATGCTTACTCTTAATTTGTGATTCTCCTAGTGGAGCCTTAAAAATGTCAGAAAATGAATGTGGAGACCATTGCAGAAATCTTGGGCTCAGTTGGGGTCATACATAAGTCAAGAACTACCTGTAGTTGTTATTCTTGCTTAGGTTAATAAAATAAACCCCTCTGGTTTTTTTTGTTAATTTTTTTTTCCTATCCCATTTGCAGCGCAAGGCCGTTGTTGTAATTGGCTGTATAGCTGCTTTTCTAATCCTCATCATTGCCCGCCTTACAAATGAAGTCAGCTTTCCCCTCATGCTCAGCTGCTTCGGACAATCCAGTGTCCAGTGGATGCCATTTTCCTATACACAAAAACGACATCGAAGGGCTCACTATGGATATCTTAATGTGAAAAACCAAGAGGTAAGGATTCACACGGAGTTATATGATGTTCTTTTATAAAGATAATTTTAAGTATTCTTTCTTTTATCTGGCTAAATGGACCTCTTAACTGAAAATGGCAATGTTATTAATTTTTTAAAACAATGATTTAAAATTCATTAGCATTATTGATATTAACTCTTTTTGCATGGTTTTAAATCAAATAAGATACAGGTAGTCTTCAACTTATGACCGCAATGAAGCCTAAAATTTCCATTGCTAAGTGAGACAGTTATTAAGTGAGTTTGCTCCATTTTATGAATTTTTTGCCACAGTTATTAAGTGAACGATGGGGTCATTCAACTAATCTGTCTTTGAGTTTGCTTGTCGGAAGCCAGCTGGGAAAGCTACAAAAGTTGATCACATGACCCCAGGACAGTGCAACCATCATCAATACATGCCAGTTGCCAAGTAGCTATATTTTGATCACGTGACTGGGGATGCTGCAGTGGTTGTGTGAAAAACGGTCAAGAGTCATTTTTTTCAGTGCCGTTGTAACTTCGAACAGTCACTAAATGAATGGTTGTAAGTTGAAGATTATCTGTATGTATGGAACAGGATTTGTTATCTAGTAAGTGGAATTGGGATTTCAACTTTGAATCAAGACCCTCAAGTGCTGTTAAAAAACCAAAATAACTAGTTTTGTTTTGAAGGGATAAATAATATTTCAATTAGACTGTCTCTTTCTTCTGTGAAGATTTTTCATTTAAGTACAGTGTCTTCATCATGAGGTATAATTAAAATATCCTCATTCATTAACTGCAGGGAAAAGGCACGCCTTGGCTAACTTTTGATTAAAGTTCTTCATGATGTGGTGCTATTGAACGCTGTACTGGTGCCGTAGCTATAGCAACAGTGATCAGAAATGATTTACTCAAAGATACTTATAGAACTGTTTATAGTCTAAATAATCTCTGACTTTGGGATAACGTATGTGGGAATCCAAGGTGAATTCACTCATTGTATATAATTTTCTAAGCTCTTCTGAAAAATAGCTATTACAGACTTTAAAAGAATTAGTCTGTAAATTAAGGATGCTGGGGTTTTTTTTTCCCCTCAGAGAATATTTTTGCTCTAATGATACGATTTTAATTGATGAGCTGGAATTAATGCTCTATTAATTCTCTTAGATTCAGTAGATTAAATGTGTGTAATAAAGAGAAGGAAGAGAAAAGGTTTTTTTTCCCCCAATGCTATTATTGTTTTTAAGATTTTTTTTAAAAAAAATGCTTTCTAGGAAATTACATTTGCACTTCTCTAAAATATTTTAAAAGCTCAAACAGAATTGTTATTCTTTTTATGTTACATGAGAGCATCCATAGGGAAAAGGTGGAGCGGCTGTAGATATAAACGACATATTGGTAGCCCTTGACTTATAACTATTCATTTAGTGACCATTTGAATTTACAGTGCCACTGAAAAAAGTGACTTATGATCGTTTTCACACTTATGACTGTTGCAGCAGCCCTGTGGTCACATGATCAAATCTAGGGCACTTGGCAATTGGCATGTATTTATGATGGTTAGAGTGTCCCGGGGCCATGTGATCACCTAGTAAGTAGAGTCAATATATACAAACACGTACACACAGATATACATACCCTGGTGAGACTGGCAGATATGGGCTCCCACTAAAAAGTGCTATTGTTATTGTTTGGTTATGTGTATCCTTGTCTTAGGAATGTACTTTAGGCTCAGACTTAACTCTCACAAGGGAACAGCATTTTGAATTTTGGAAATGTTTGGAAATAATTTATTATTTAAGTACATTTTTATCTCACGGAACTCAGAGTACAAGGTTACAAAGTGGTCTTGAGTTAGGAACTGAACAGTCCCAGGCCAAAATGGCAAATCCAAAATTATGCCATAAGTCACATGTAATAATCCTGATCCAGTATATCTCAAATTAATGTGGATTTCAGAAATGTGTGTATATAGTTAGATAAGAATGATTAAGATGCCTCTTTATTTTTAAATTGTGGAAGAAGTGTCAATATCTAAACTAAAGCTGCATTCAAAATTATTTATTTAGCAAAGACAGCAGATTTGTAATATTTGTTTAAAAAGTATAAATATGCAATTTAATTACGTTATCGTATATCCTATTCACAAAGGAAAGTTGAACAAATATATTATCTTGTCTTATTTAATTTTAGTGTATCATCTGTTTTAATTATTCTGTCCTTTCTTGGTCTTTCTAAAATTTACAAATATACCCCCTTTGTTTGACTTTCCACATTTATTTTGCATTTAATTTTATTTATTTTCTCAATTTGAAAAAAAAAAAGCCATTTTCATTGGTCTTTCCCTGCCCTTATTTTCTCCCTATGCAGTAGATACAGAGAAAATTCTGATATCTAGTATGATTTTTTTTTATGGAAAATGGGAATTAACATCTTTATAACTGCATAAATTTGGGAGCAGAAATGAAATCAGTATCTTGTGAAATGAAACCAACAAACCTCTTTTGTTTCTTTTGCTTTTTTAAAAAAAATATTGCCAAAATCGGTAGATAGAGGGTTACATTTAGAAATGATTTCATTAGTTTTAATTGTCTTGTGTTTAATTACTTTAATAGAAATAGAGAGCCTCAGGTTTACAGGCTTAATATAACCTACAGCATTCTTGTCTTGCATCCTACAAAGCAGGTTTAGCACTACAAGCAGACTGTTGAAATTGGCAAAACTAAGTTAGCTGGAAAGCTAATTAGATTAGCTGTGTTTCCCTAGTAGGGACAATACAAGGCAGTTGAAATTTCTCTAATGTGGGGATGAGAGCAGAACTAACTCTGTTTTCTCCTGCAATTATTTCTTTGGAAAAACATCCCTTTATGTGGATGTTCACTGTGAACCACCATGACAGGAAAATGAATAATGGGACAATGCTGCTTCTTTAAAACCTATCAAGACTTTCTGAACCTTATTTGCCAGGAACTGTTGGGTAGAAAGAAGAAGTATTTCATCAGATTTATTTCTTGCTTCTATTTTATGGAAGCAAAGATGTCATAAGACTAATTTGTTGCCTTCGTTTTCTATCTTGACATTTTGAATCTGCCCTGAACATAACTCTTTATTTTGTTTACTGAAAGCAACATTTAATTTAAAACATTTGAAAAAAAATGTAAAATATTGAATCAATACCAGATTGTTGTGTTCTTCTTTGCTTTATGCTCTTTTGTTTCCATTATTATTTCATCATTAGACAGATGGCAGTGGCCAGCCTAATTTTTATTACAAGATGGACTTAATAAAAAAAAAAGGCCTTTCTGGATAGGAATTGTATTGGTATGATATGATAATATATGCTGTTTTATAGTTTTGTTGTGTGCCACACAGAGTCACTCTTTCATGAGATGGACAGTCATATAGATTTGAGGAATGAATGTATCCCCATTAGGAACATCAAAATATATGTTTTGAAAGAGAAAAAAAATATTTATGGTGTATATCTGATTGTGCTTTCTAAAAAATACAGGATTACATAAGGAACACATATAATAATAACATTTTCTTTCTGAATAGCACTTTATAGCCGTGACTGGTTTGTTCACAGTCAACAACTAGTTTAGGGCAATAAGGACTAGTTGTTGAATTTTGTTTTATACATAAACAAAACATATGCAGCTAGTCCTCAAGATATGATAGTTCACTTAATGAATATAAACGAAACGTATGTATTTTTCGAGATAGGACAGGTCACTTAAAAAAATATTCAAAATTACGTCAGACACCCCAAAACCACATATGACTCTATTTCAAAGTTATGACAACTGCAACACCCCTCATTCATATCCTTACAACACACCATTGGGATGTTGCAGTGCCCAAGTAGGAAAGACTTCTGGCAAGAAAAGGCCAACAAATTTAACAAAAAGCATCCACCGTTACCTAGTGTTGCGTGTGATAGTACCATGCAAGTGAATCAAAAGCTAAAAATGAAACATAAAACATGTAATGCTGAAGTCAATAGTTTTATGCATATTTTTTCTTAATTACCAGCCTCCTCAAATTTGTAAAAAAAAAAGAACTATAGAAAACAGTTTACAGAAAATTATATTCTCCCTCAAGAATTACACATTGATAAAATGTTTGACCCAAGAATATTTTAAGATTTGAGAAGGAAGAAAATGTCAGAATATCTGGCCACATGATACATAAATTATTAGAGAAGTGTAATAGATGTAATAGACTTGTTTTGATAAAATGAAGAATATTAATTGCATGAGATAATGATTAATGCTGTGCTAAAACCTAGGAAAGTTAGATGGTAAGTTTCAAAAACTCAAAATTTGCATGGCCAATGGTAAACAAATGTGTTCCAGAACCACATGACGAGACCAATAAATATAAAACAGTAACTTACGTTACCTTTTCCATCATCCATAAATAATGAGATCAGGGCAACCAGGAGGACACAGAACACTGGTGGTTTTTTGTGTCCATTGCTTTGATTGGGCCACAATTGAGGTACAATTGTATTTTGCATTTTGGGTTGTCTTGCTACTTCATGAAATTGGCTAATTAAAGCAGCATCAGGCTGAAAACTAACATATAAAAAAACTCATATTCTGCTTTTGACCCATCCATCTACTCTACATTAAATGAGAACAAGCCATGAAAGAAACATCTGTGATGATAAAGGATAGTGGATATACACTTATATCATTCCATCACAACATCTTAGAAAAGATGGGTTGATGAAAGAATGAAAAGACCCCTTATTGTTATAAAACTAAACATTCAGCTGGTCCCTGATCTTGCCTCCCACAGTGACCAACTAAGAATATTGGGAAGTCAATATGCAGTGATGAAAACATGTCTTCTACTTATCTTGCTGTTCCTAGCAAGTGATCTTAAATTTAAAGTTTTTAACTCAAGAGGTTGCATATAGTCATCATGTTAAATTCTGAAATGGCAAAGGACTACTACTGACACCAATAATGATTTGTGATGCAAAGGAGCATCTGTGTGCAATGTATATAG